AAAAGACTGTAAGTTTTAATGCAAATGAATGTATGTTGATAAGCAAAATGACAGGTTGAAAGGGAAAATTTACATTTCTCTTTAAAACAATACGAAGACGGAGTTCATTTTTATAATCGCATCCACTTGACTGGAAAGGCACTGAAGAATAAAGAATCCGATGTTTAACTTTGTGATAATAATTTCGAATTTAATCAATTGTTTAATTTTGAAACGGAGTATTCGTCTTTTTTTATTAGTTATCACACTAGAAAATCAATTTCGATAAAAGGTATTTTAAAATAAGGAGCAATAGATATATGGAAGCACGGCCAAGAACGTTATATAAGGTGTGCCTAAATGAAAAGTAGACCTTAGCTGTATCAGCGTTGTATCAAATCCCAGTGAATTAATGTGCTAGCCGATATATAGATAGCGTGGTGGTATTCCCAGTTGCACCTGCGTAGTTATAACGGCCTCGCATCAGTACCTTCATTTCTGGAGAGTTGTTTCCGCAGTTCGTGGCATGATGGATTCCTCCAAATCAGCAGAAAGAGCAGTTATGCAATTTCTTCGCTCAGAAGGGGAGCACGATTCACAAATTTATCGCAGGATGAAAGAGGTGTACGGAGAGCAGTGTCTCGCACTATTCACCATATTCCATTATGAGGCGGGACTCGTAAACATCAACACGCCCTTGGCAGGCTCACGTTGTGACCAACAGTGCCACGAATTCCGCTGTGGATGAGCTCATACGGCAGAATAGTCAAATCACCACACGTGAAATTGCTGTTGAACTGTCGATAAGCAAAGGAACTGTGCATCACGGAATCCACAAAAAGCTTGGTTATGGCAAGTTTGTGCACAGTGGGTGCCCAAACATATATCAGAGAATCAGAAGACGGCGAGAATGAGTGTTTGCCTAACCCAGTAGTTTCTACACTGAAGCCATCCTCTCCCTTCCTACGCGCTACGATCAGTGTATCAATATCAATGGCGATTATTTATAGTTGTACTGTTCCACATGAACTGTAATTAGAATATTGTTATTAAAATTTCTTTACATTTAACTGTAGTCTCCTTTCCATTTGGGCACGCCTCATATTTATTGCCTAAAAATGCAAAAAATTGTTTCATCAATTCCTAATTGTTGCATTTAAAAAATGACTAAGGGCTGCATACGCATGCTGGTTGCCGAACTTTCCAAATATGTAACTGTGACTCGATTCATCACATATATGCATGTTATAAATCTCTACTCAATGCATAAAATAATACTTTTCAAATACCTTTGCTTTAAAAAAGTCAAATGATGAGTTACAATTACATAAACGATGTCCTTCTACCCCACATTAACTTGAGAACGGCGACAACTATTGCCACAAACTTGGTATCTAGGTATAGTAAAGTTACCATGCCCTACACGGTGATATCTGTTACAGCGCCACCTGTCGGCAAACAACGGAGTTACCGTCCCTATCTCGAAAACGGTACAAGATACGGAAAAAAACCCTATTACAAAATTGTAGAGCGTCTTCTATTTAGTACGAAAAGACACCTTGAGCACAATAATGCTAAGAACAAAATGTGTAAAAAGCGCATTTGTTTGGTCGCGATTTCCAACACTCTTACGCCAGAAAATCGTTAGAAAGAAAACCGAACAGTTAGATATCAGCAGATACTTTTATTTTCGGTGTTCGAAATGTCTGTGCTAACAACTACGCCATCGGGTTGACGTTTATTGTTCAAAAGATGATATTTTCTCCTGTTGTCGCCAGTTGTTACGTCACAGGTTTGGAAACCAAACAAATGAGCGTTTTACACGTTTTGTTCTTAGCATTATTGCGCTCAAGGTGTCTTTTCGTACTAAATAGAAGACGCTCTACAATTTTGTAATTGTCTTTTTCCCCGTATCTTATACCGTTTTCGAAATAAGAACGCTAACTCCGTTGTTTTCCTCCAGGTGGTGTTGTAACCGATCTCACCGTGTAACTCATGATCACTTTACTATATCTAGACACGAAGTTTGTGGCAATAGTTGTCGCCGTTCTCAATTTAATGTGGGGTAGAAGGACTTTAGTGGACACCCTGTATATAAGTAAACAAATATACATGTTCTAAGCTAAAAATTGCAAGAAAATAATTCTGTCCACTTTTTTTTATGCGAATACCCCACTGTTCGACTCTTCGAAAGATGGTCAATTATGATGTTTGAAGAAACATAGAAATAAGATCAAGAGTCTTGATACATTGCTCCTTTTAAACGTTCAGGAGGAGTTCGGCAACAAAAACAGAGTGCAGGAACAACAGATGTCTTTCTCTCGTTCTCTTCTGACGACGTTAGGTGCTATGTCATATCGGTAAACACAGGAATTAGGTCAGAGAAATTCCTTCATTCCTTTCCTTCCTCATCTCCACGTATTTTAGTAAGAGAAATCAGAATCCAGAAACGAATACAAATGGCTATCTTTCGTCCACAGTTACTATTATTAAGTTTTTGATTTGTGGATTAGAGGGTATTTCTTTTTTCAGTACAAATATTTATACTATATGTTATTATCACTCAATAAGAAGTCGAATGCTGCGTGTATCTGTTCAGCTGAAGAAAAAGATTGGAAGTTTATAACTGACATAACAATAATTGTACTCGAAGAGAAAGAATCTTTTAATTGATAATTAATTTTCTCAACATCCTCATTCTATATACAGTAAAGCACCATGTATAAGTTCCTCATTTATACATCGTTTCACAACAGTCACGATTCATTCGTATTGATTGAAATAATAAATTGCTTCGTTTATACAACACAAAGCTTCGGTTATACGTCATTTTCCCCCGTTCTAAAATGTGAAAATTTCCTCCTTTCTAGTATGTGAACTGTGATAAAGATATCATGATTTCGATATTATTCAGAATTGATAACTTAATAGAACAAAAACTGTCTGGTGCTAATTTATACGATGGTGAAGAAGTTATTCCACCTTTCTTGAAATACGCGATGGACTCCACTGAAAAACTTGGAACTTATTTCTTTTGTCAAAAGATTAGTGAAAAATATTCAATGAACTTAATTCGATTAATAATGATGTACTTGATACTCACAGACAATCAGTACGTCAGAGGGCGGTTAAAGAGTTTCTTAATTAAACGCCTACCTACATGCACATAAATCGTTTTAAGATATGTCTAATTAATACACATGATATGCAATAAAGGTATGATTTTTCTCATTTTTATGATAAATGCTTAATTT